GAGAGTTATGTGTACTTCAAAAAGTGAATGAGACAGATGAGTCATCCTAGAATGTGTGGACGTAAAAATTATTCTGGCAAACCTTTTCTATAAAACACTTAAATTCTATTGGCTACTGCTCAATCAATAGGATTTAGAGATGAATACAGCTCAGATTTGAACTCTTCACCTTCATTTACCCTAAGAAAGTCGTTTTTTCCTATAGCTTGATTTCTATTGGTTACTGCTCAACCAATAGGATTTCAGGGCAAACGGAGCTTGGATTAGAGTTCTCTGACCCAGAAAATCTCGAACTATCATCTCTGTGATCGAAAGACAGAGCTCTAATTGTGGATCAATTAGAGTGTGGACAAGAACAGAACCATTTCCCGTTTAATTATCTTTGCAACAGGTGAGTTAGTCTTCTTGTTTCTTTATGTTTTATATACCATTTTGTAGCTCGTGAAATTCTCTATCGAATGATATATAATAGTTGGGGTTCTATTTGACTATGATAGGAAAAGTTTCTTACGAAAGCGGGGATAGGTCGATTTTCGCATAGGAAGGCATAGGGAATAATGACTATTTTTGCAATAGCTCAGAAACGGCTTGACGAATCATTCTCATCTTCGAACTCGACCGAGATATTGTTGAAACTAAACTGTGTAGAAAATTTCATCGTAATCAGACTCTCCTTTCGAAAGTTATCGTGTAAACGGCCGGACGGACACACTGACCGATGCTAGAGTGTACTCACTTTTTGAGTACACAAAAACATGTTAAGATCGTGAGAGAATGACGATTTCATATTGGAAACATAATTGAGTGCTTTTGCTTCCGCTAGAGAACTACAAAAATTGGGTTCCGATTATGGATATATAATATCGCTGAAGTTGATCACTAAAATCATATACTTTAGCTTCCTTAGCTATGCAACTTGACTGATCAGCACATCAGTTTGTTATATGATATTTTTGTATGATACGGTAACAATAATCAATATATTCATGAATATTTTTTTCAACGACCTGCTTCTTCGTGAGAAAAGAGGACAAAGTGGATTTTTTCGAAAAAGAGGCTAAAAAGAGGAATTTTAAAAGAACAGAAGAAAAGGAGGAAAAAGAGGTGGAGTGGGATGCCAGCTCAAAGCTGCTAAAATGATCATAACATTATAATAGATTTATGTATTTCGAAATATTTTTTTCAAATGATAACTCTCATCTTCCTCTACAAAATAACACAATTTGATCAATAACTTTGTATAAGTTTGTTGTAGATATTATCGATTTATACAGAGGGGTCGAAACTTTCGAACCATCCTTTAGTTATCAAATTCTACGGAATTTAAACCTAGCAAGAGAATCTGTAGCGCTTACCATTATAAACGAAAAAAAAGTCTTTCAATTGACTCTCGGTGCTGGCTTGGCTTAAAAGTTGAGCCTACCCTAGACCAAGACCACTCCGCCGCCCATGACCATTGTCATTTATTTGGGGTGAGGGTGTGGATGGGTCCCTACTTAACCCACCCACACACAGAAGACAGCGTATTTCTCCCAAGGTAATGACTGTCATGCAACAGCTCAATGCTTCCCATCCGCCCTGAATCATGTCGAAGACTGTAAGACAGAGTCCACAAAATCACCGCTCAAGCCGGTTGCCAAAAATTTTAAATTTTGAAATTGACTATCACATTCGATAGAGCATTTAAAACTGATTCAGGGACACTATAACAACTCAGTTTCGTATTCCTCTAAAGCCCATAACTGTAGAAAACTTACCATGTTCAAATCTGCACCTGTGACCTGGTTTTGAATTCTAGCTCTACTACCTTTATCTATCTAACAGTTATTATTGCAACTGGACTTTGGCGCAATGATTCTGCATTTTCTCACGCGAGTTTATGTGTAAATAGTATTGCATTTGCATCTTTTTATCTCTGTTTTTCATCTTGAAGTTAAAAAAAGAAAATGATAAGAAGTGTCTATTGTATGTGTGATAAAAAGCACCAATATCTACTCTTTCTACAGAATAAAATTCTTGTATTAGAAAAAAACAAGGTTAGTTATAATATTTGACTAGTAATCAGAGTGCATTATTATTTCTATTGTAAAGATTCTCCACTTTCATTATACGATATATACATTACACAGACGATCGATCTATCCGGTAAGCTTTTTTTGGCAGTGTGTTGTATGTTGAATAGATCAACCCGTTCCTACACCCTAAAAAATAGATTTATTTCCGAACTTTGAAAGTTTCGCAGTTTTGCACCGAACGATTTTAAGTTCAGTAAAATAAAAATCGTTTCGGGTGTGGGTGAGTGTGGGTGGGTGTGGTTGTGAGTGTATGGGTCTCAGCATAGGCGGCGGAGCGGTCTGAGTCTAGGGTAGGCTCAGATTTTCAACCAAGCCAGCCTTGAGAATGGATTGAAAGGATTTTTCTTATTTATTTAAAACGGTAAGCGCTATAAATTTTGTGCTAGATTCACATTCTATAGTAGTGTGATAACTATCTAACACATTATTGTTTCTAATGAAATGAAAAAATAACCGAGTAACAGAGGCACGGTTTAAAAATTAAAAATGACTTAGAAGAAATAAAACTACTTATGACCGAATAAAATTTTTCTGTTTTGATTTTTTTGAAATAAAGCTAAAGCAGATACTTTTTTTTTTGAGTAAGCATAATGTTTATTACGTCCGTAGACGCTTATAATATAAAAGCAGATACTGTTCAGATCAAGTAAGTCTAATTTTCCTTTATGAATATAAGGAACAATAGCATGGTTTAAACATTGTTTGGTCATTATACAGCGTAAATATGTTTTGTTCGATTCATAACGTTAAATGACCGTTCAACAGTACGCGCTATTACGGAAATTGTTATCTATAACGATAACAATTCACTATATTCGCAAAACTTATTTTTACCAACTTGCTGTACATTTAAAAGCTCACATAGGGTAAGGGAGGGGTTCTCCGAAGTTCTAAAACGATTTTATAAATTAAAATAAATTATCGATGTTCCCATATTTGATTACCGTCTTGACCGATTAATAATTTTAACTGAATTGTTGTGCTATCTATCATTCGTTGACATAAAGGAACACTAAAGTTGTTTCGTTTCTTTTTAGTGTAGTTTTTGAATTGCTCAATATTCCTGTATTTCCGTCCTTTGTAATTTTTCTTTTAACGCAT